TCAGTCTTAATGTATAGCAATCAAATCTATATCTGAATTAAGCAACGGCTTATAGCAACCACAATTAATATCAACAAAGCTAAGGATGTGTTAAAACGGCTTATTGTCCCTGAACATATAAAGGCTGTTGTTGATCTGAATTTAAACAGAACAGATATCAAACTCTACATGGAACTGCTAACAGGCCACTGTAGACTGCGATATCATCTGAAAAAGATTGGACTAACAGAAAACGATTCCTGAAAACGATTCCTGTCAAAAGCTGCAAGAAGCAGCAGAACATGTTCTATACGTCTGCCCATCCGTGGCAAAACGCAGATTTAACTACATAGGCAGTGAAGTTTTGAGCCCTGAAAACTTAACTAAAATGCGGCTCACAATTGTGATAAAATTCATCAAAAGTTTGGAATTGGAATAATTGGGAGAAAGGCTGCACAAAACATATTTTAAGTCGCAGTGCATGTCATCTATTGAAGAAAAAATTATAAAATAGAGAGATTTAGCAACATTGCTCCACTTCGAGCGGGCATGATAAGAGAGAAGAAGATTTTGCATACATATGGTCGGAAGATTTAAAACTATTTTATAGTTTAAATAACGATATACTACAAGATACTGTTGGTGGGAAGATTATATATAGATGACAGTTTAACACCATATTTGTCAGTAAAAGATTGAGAAAACTGTTTTCAAACTTTTTATGGAATTAAAGCGCACTACGGTAGCTACTTTTGCAATTACAGTCTTAAAATAATTTCTTACGTAGTTCCTTTACTAGCCCTAACAATCCGTTCCCAGAATTTCTTTACAGTCGCGTGTTCTTTAGTTTAGTTACATACATTAATAACAATAAGTATTTTGTCAATATAATTTTATAGCCTAAAATATTGTCCAATCACACACCCAACAAACACTACTGTTTTAACCGGTTAATCAACTACCTTTAGTAATACATATTTTGAAATAATATATTATTGAATAATTATATTTCTAATATATTATTTGTGCGTATATGAGCTAGTTTTTCTGTTTTAAAGATCATAGATCTGAGATTTGTGAGAGTTGTCGTGTTTCTATTAACTTTCTCATCTGAAAGATGGGATTCAATGTATTGCCACTTACAGAGTCATGCCATACCGAATTAAATATTCACCCAACTTAAATGTTCGTGTCTTGCTTTTGTCAGGAAATGGATCCAGTGCCACCATTTGATTTTAGTGATCCAGTTGAGTTTTATTAGGGTTACTTACAGCACTTTTTTCAATGACGTCAAAGTAAATCTCAAAGTATTTTAATAATTCCTTCTAATAATAATAATAAACTCATCACCTATTTTATTTTAGTGTAATAAACAACACTTAAAATCATTTACTCTCATTAACATCAGAAAATTTTTGTCTGACACCTCAATATGGAAAATAAAGATTTGTAAGCATCTTCGCTTCAAGAATATTTTGTAATAGTCCATTGTAATTAATAAGAATTTTAAAGGCTAATTAATATCTTTAAGGTATCAAATTGCAATTGGTGTAAAATACATAAAATTCAAATCTTTATTGCTTAAATTATTCAAAAGAAATTTTAATTACCTGAAGTGTAACGATTTCGCGTGATTTAGACTGCAACCGATTTTGCTTTTCAGATATTTTTTTTATAAATACTTAAACATCTTCGAACTGCACTTGAAAGTATTTTGTAAAAATAATTATTCTTTGTGGCTGCAATAATTATTTCACATATATTATAACAATAATTAGGCTAAAACACACAGAAGAAAGTCATTACAGCAAAAAAAATTAAAAAAATTAAAATTGTTATTAATATTAAAGTTTGTATTCCTACTCGTGTGTTGCATGCAGAATGCATTCAATTGCAGCTGCAGTATAAAATAGTTTCACAATCATTAAATCATATCAGTTTTCATTTAACCGTTGCAGTTAAGTCGCGATACGAACTGCAAACAAGCCGTGTCTCAATTCAACAATAATTGAACACAACATTAAAGGATACTTAAGCAGCAGTGCGACATAGTGATCCATTAAGGATCAGTAAGGATCAGAGACAACTCCTTCTACACATTTAAAATGATTAAATACGTGTGGCTTGCGGCAACGCTGATGATTGTTTTCTGCTTGGTCAGTAGTGGGAGTGCGCGTAGTGCCACATCAGCAACATATAATCACATCACCAGCGACAAAGTGGAACCAACACTGCAGAACGCAGGCAGCACGCAGCAAAGCATATGGAACGATCTATCTGCGGTCTATAAAATTTACAAACAATGCGCCAGTGAGAATCTATCGGTTTGTTTAAAAGTCAAATTGCTGAAAAGCCTTGACTCAACAATCCACAAAGTGAAAACAGTTAAGATTATTGAAGGTGTGCAGTTTGTGAAGAATACTAATGAGAATGGTCAAGATGCCGAAGCACGATCCACATCATCAATAGCAAATCTGAGTCAAAAGGATATTGAGGCACTATTGCCACGTGGCTTGGAAACAAAGGAGCATGTGTTAAATAATATGATTTTTAAAATGGTCACTGCTTTTCTTAAGGATCACACTTTGCAGGTAAATCAATCAATAACAATATTAAAATATTTTAAATTTTATTTAACTTTAAAACTATAATTTATAGTTAAAATTTCCGGACTTACGTACAATGGATTTTGAAGCGGATAACTCAGTAGAGGGGCGTAGGCGTAAGAAAAAAGGTAGTGGTGCATATATAATGATACCACTGTTACTAGGTGGCACATTTATACCGATTGCTTATGGTGCATTGGCTATGTTGGCTGGTAAGGCGCTGATAGTTTCCAAACTGGCTCTTGTATTAGCTTCCATTATTGGCATTAAAAAACTATTGAGTGGTGGTGGTAAGGACGCTTCGCATGAAGTAGTCGTTTCTTCTGGTGGTCATTCTGGTTGGGGACGCGATATGGATTTAGCCTATCAAGGTTGGAAGCCAACACCTGATATGGAAAAACACGTTTAACTATTGATTTTATTATGAATCACGTGATGTGAAAGGAGTGACATGACATCATGTGGAAAAAATTAAAAAAATTTTTTAAATTTTAATCATAAACTCTTTAACCAAAGAAAAGTAGTTCTAAGTTATTACTAATTTATTGCTAAGATAGCTTAAGAACAAAATGTGTGTGTTATAACTTAATTTATAAAAAAAGTTTAATATGTTAACGAAATCATAATATATAGTTTAAATATTTAAATGCTTGCTCAAAGAAATTGTTATTAAATGAATGAAACAATATTTTCATTGAATATTTATTGTATCATAAATCTCAAGAGGTTTCGCTCAAGGCATTAGTATATCTAGCTTATGGGCTGACATTTGAACAAATCACTATACCACACTCAATACAACCAAATAGGGACTATATCTATAATATCAACAGACTTCAGTAAGTCGATGTTTTTAATTCTTTGTCATTTCATCTTTATGTTCATATGTTTGATGTTTCATAAACATTTGTTCTACTAGATTTGCTAAATGAATTCATTTAAGAAGACGATCTATATTTTATAAAGCATATGATAAAAAGCGTATATTCAAGTCAATATAATTCTTTTATATCTTTGGTACATTTTATATTCGATGTTAAAAAAAATAAGATTTTATTATATGATCTGTACACTATCACATGTACTACGATTATAAGTCAACAGCACTAAAAGACTATTGTTAGGTATATCGATGTTCGCCTCATACTCAAAGTATTTTTCTTCTTCTTGCTTATTTTTAAAATTCTTGCTAGTCTAGCTCTTTCAAAACCAATGCAATACAGGTTTTTCAATCAGTTCTGATGGATTTTCAACTATGTACATAGATTTTCCTATATCGCCTACTAGATCATCAATCCATTTTTCTCCATTCCATTCTCTATCAGTATATGTCCTTAACTCATTATTCTTCTACATGCTTGAAATGTGTTCTTCTATACACAGAGATTTATTTGTTATAATTTTTAAATATTTTTGCACTTTTTATTTGCATTAATATATTTATATATATTGACTACACTTGTCAATGGGTGGGATTGACAATAAAAATTTTCTTTTCACACTTGTTAATTAAGTATAATTAGTGTATATATATACATAACATATGTATATTTTGTATATATATCAATTAGTTTTACAATATTTTTATTATTGTATATTGCTTTTGTTAAAATGACAATATCGCAGCTTAAGTAAACTCACAACTTACTCTCTACCGCAGATACTCACATATACCTCTAATATATATATTTTTTTGCCTTTATCAACGTTTATTTCATTGTGTTGCACTACAACTTAAAATCGTTATTGGTTTTCATTTAAAATTGCATTATTGCTAATAGATTTGTTTCAATTAAAATAATTTAATTATCTTTATAAGTTCGAACGTTTACTTATTTCCAATTCGAATTTTCTTAGTATTTCTTGTGATCATATCATACCTTTAACCATCTCTATAAATAAACTACCCAATTTCACTAAATCCTTAAAGTGGAGTCTCCTTGTATCCGAATACCTGGAAACTATGACAATAAATGTTCAGTTATTTTTAACCATATCCCCATTCTGCCAGCTTCTTCAGAAGTTTCTACCAATTATCCAGTTGAGTTGCAAGCGTACTCGAATTAATTTTTTTTTTTGTGATGACGAAGTGCAATGCTCCATGTCTGAGGGAGTGCCTGACTGCCTAACATACTAATATGTAGTATATAAGACTAAAACACTCTCTTTTCTTTTCGGAGACTTGTTCTCCCCCGAAACTGCTTTCGTATTTCTTTGAAGAGTGCCTCTTTCAAGCCATGATTTTTTGATTTTCAATCTGGGTCCAGACCTTTACTTTTTTAACTCATTTTTTTACCACTCGCATACCTTCAACATCAAATGAACAGATTGACACTTATGTATAAGCAAAAGAATGATTTTTTGGCATACATTAAGTCTTAATTGGCTTAGTGCATGGCAGAATTCTTTACTTTTTAATGATTCTTTTCCGTTGCATATAGCCTATTTGTCAGGACGAAAATAACAAGATTCTCACCTTTAATATTATATAGGCGAAAAGTTGGTGAGATTTTGTGAAAAACCTTTCATTTCTCATGAAATCAGTGTGGTTTAAGTTGCATTAAATACAGTATGCTCTCGATAATCCGAACAATAGTACTCCAAGGTTTCTCCAGATTACCGACATATCAGGGTTGCCGAAACATTTTTGTTTTTCATTTAAGCTAGCAATATAATGTTAAATAGACGACAAAAAATATATGGTATATATTAAATATCTTTATTGTTCTTATACTTATAACGAATTTTTTTTCACTTTATCTGGATTATAGATAATAATAAAGATAAATGCAATGTGAATTAAAATGTATTACGTTCAACAATATCCTAATGATCGATTGAAAAAAGTAAGGTTTATTTGAGTCGTGGTTTATGGTATTCCTCATTAATTAATACCAGCTTAAGACTTATATTTTAAAATACCTATTTTACTGCAGTTGAATTGCTAAGGTTACATTAAGACATAGTATTTTACTGCAAACAGCTGATAGACGTCTGTTGTACATTTTGATACTCTCCATGTTGCTACGGAAGAGTGAGCTAGATTAACTATTGATTTTATTTAAGTTCAGTGCGCTAAGCTTAATAAATTATTTGGTGTTCCAGACAAAGTTCAAGAAATTCAATAAGTCTACTTTTGTCCAGTGAAAAAACTATATCTTTATTATTTAGAAGTATTGTAATTATATGTGTTGAAGTACTCGCCTAAATTTTCTAATATTTCTAATACAGACCATTTTTTATTAATTGCTTAATAAATTTGAAATTATATATTTTATTTTTATAAACAGAAAATTCCATAGCTTCTTTGAAAAATTAAATCCCAAAAACGCGCTTTTTATATAATAAGTAATAGCTTTGAAATAAAAATAGGTAACCTCAAGAATTAACTTTCAATTTGTTAAACTTGCGTTTCGAAATGAAGCTGTGGTTTATAAGCTTGTTCTAATTTAAAGCACGGGAAATCTTTCAGTTAGTGTCACTTAAATAAGGAAATGAAAAGTGACAAAAAAATTGGATCCTCAAACTTCAATACTCAACTTAAAGTATGTGCACCCTTGCCTACTTGTGGAAAAACACTATTAGTCATCGCTTCTAATGTGACAGATACGAGTTCTAAGACTGGCACTTGCAGTCCAAACAAATTATATAGGGACTTTAAGCTAATTCAAAAGAAATTCCAATTTTTTTCAAGACCACTGGCGATGAATACTTGCCAATACTCGAAACAGCATTGTATGGTCAGATAAATTTCAATAAATTAACTAAAATTTTTGTTGTTGTATTTTTATTTCTATTCAAACCCTTCTAACTTTTAGAAAATAATTTCTTTACTTAACATAAATAATTGTTAAGGTAAATTTTTTCTTGCCGATAATGGCGTGTCTTTTTATGACGAAAGAAACTATTTAAAAGTTAGACCGATTCGAATAGCAAAGAAAGGCAAAGACAAAAATTTTTTATTTTAATTTATTGAAATTTGGCTGACCATACAACGCTGTTTCGAGTATTGCCAAGTACTCTTCATCAGTGGTCTTTGGAAATAATCGAATTTTTATTTAATTAGTTTATAGTCCGTATATAATTTGTTTGGACTGCAAGTGCCAGGCTTAGAACTCGTGCCTGTCAAATTAGAAGCGATGACTAATCGTCTTTATCCACAAGAAGCCAAGGCTGCACAAACATTCAATGCTCAAGTTCCAGGTTTTATTGACACTTATTTTTATTTAATTAGTGACACCAACCAAAGCACTTGCCGTGCTTTAAATTAGAACGAGCTTATAAACTACAGCTTTATTTGGAAACACAAGTTCAACAATTTGAAAGTTAATCTTTGAGCTTGCCTATTTTTGTTTCAAAGCTATTCTTTTTGTAGAGACATCTGATATGCATATTTTTTTAACTTACTATATGTAAAGCGCCTTTTTTGGGTGCAATTTTACAAAGAAGCTATGCAAATGTTTCTCTACAAGTTCGCTAATCGCGTTAAGGAAAAGCTGAACAATATTATTGTTCATATTTCCTATAATTCTAATTTTTAAGGTAAATTTTTTTTCTTTTTTTTGCCGATAATGGCGTGTCTTTTTATGACGAAAGAAACTATTTAAAAGTTAGACCGATTCGAATAGCAAAGAAAGGCAAAACAAAAATTTTTTATTTAATTTATTGAAATTTGGCTGACCATACAACGCTGTTTCGAGTATTGCCAAGTACTCTTCATCAGTGGTCTTTGGGAATAATCGAATATTATTTAATTAGCTTATAGTCCGTATATAATTTGTTTGGACTGCAAGTGCCAGGCTTAGAACTCGTGCCTGTCAAATTAGAAGCGATGACTAATCGTGTTTATCCACAAGAAGCCAAGGCTGCACAAACTTTCAATGCTCAAGTTCCAGGTTTTATTGTCACTTAT